TTATTGACAATATAGCAGTGTAGTTTTTTGGAAATATAGTAGTGTACTTTTTTTCAATATAAAAACATACAATAATCAACATATATAGCAATGTAATTTCCAAAATAAAACATATACTACTATCTATCAATGTACCAAAAAGAAACCCATTTTAAAACATAAGTTAATACCATTAACATAAACCTGTTAAACCTAATAAAGAACCAAAAAATAAGATCAGATGCCAAAATTGCATGATTAACTCAAGTCTTCATTTTCGTTAACTTATATATTGTGATTTATATAAAATTGTCTGCACTTACTCATGTCTTCAACAAAAACATAAGATTACCATTACAACCATATTTATATAACTATATGACATCTACCATGACGTCCCAAACATGATCCATCATAATCACTTCTTGATTATCAAGTGGATTACCACCAACATCATAAGAAACACAACCTCAATGAGACCGGCCACCAACACAACCATACCATGAATTTTCTTCTCATTATACTCTATATTAAGCACATCCACCCTCGAGACAACAAAGTCACTTCTACCCTCCTTTATATGATCCACTTCAAACTGTTAAGTTGTTATCTTCTTCCTGTGCTCGCAGAAAATTGAGTGCAAATCGGTTATGTTTAGACCATCTAGGTAAGTTATGGAGTATGGTGAATGTGGTGGGGTAGCCGTCATGGATAAAAATGAAGAAAGTGGTATGTATCTAGAGCTTACCGAGAAGTGTTTGGTTGAAAAGGGTTAGAAACTATTAGGGTTTGTTTATGTAACGCCCGGTTCCTAGTATGTATGTTAAATAAGAATTATTCATTTTTGCAAAGGGACTTGACGAGTTGGAGGCCCCAAACTCGTCGAGTAGGAATTGGATTTTTGGAAGCGGGACTCGAAGTCTACTCGACGAGTTGAGAGCCTCATCTCGACGAGTAAAGCTGCGAGAGTGAAACCCTAATTTTCAGGGTTTGCACCCTATTTAAGCACCTTAACCTCCAAAGGGTGGCCTCATTTGCAGCCTCCATCACCCTAAACCCTAGCTATGAAACCTTAATCTATCTTTGAGTGTTTTGGGCCATTGTTGTGTGTTCTTGGTGATTTGAAGCTTAAGAAGGAAGGAAAAGCTTGAGGATTCAAGAGGAGGCCAGGAGATTCGGAAGTTAAGTTGCATTCCGACTCATTTTAGGTATAAAGTTGATACCTTGGCTTTCTATTGCTTAGATCTTCACTTAGAGTTGTATTTTGTTACTTTTGGAACCATTCATGGATGCAAGCATGTTTTGGAGTCATGACTTCAGATCTAGAGCCTTGGAGGGACTACATGGCATAAAGGTGCCAACTTTATGGCCATGGGAGTCCCATGAAACTTGTGAACGAATTTTTAGGGCCTTTTGAGCTAAATAACCCATGCATGGACGTAAAGTTAGAAACTTTACGTGATATATCGACCCTAAGGAACCATATCTATGACTTGGATGCATTAAGCTCGACTAGAAACGACTATATGGATTTAGGCTATGGGGGACTCACCGAGTTGTTTATACAATTCGGCGAGTTCATTCGTGGTCCTTCAACATTTTCTGTTATTAAGAAAACTCGTTGAGTCTAGGAGATGACTCAGCGAGTTGGCCATGGTTTTAGGTTATGGAAATTGAGGAAGTCGTCGAGTTCAAGGAAAGACTCGGTGAGTTGTGAGTGAAAGGTTCCGACTATGTTATGAAGGGGAACTCGATGAGTTGTTCATACAACTCGGCGAGTTGGATCGTGGTCCCAACTTTCTCTGGTTACTAAGCAAACTCAGTGAGTTGGTTGAGTTTTCGAGGCTTTGAAAGGTTGACGACTCAACGAGTTGAAATGAAAAGTCTTGTTTCTGTCATAAGGAAGAACTCGGCGAGTTAGAGGGTAACTCGACAAGTAGGATCGTGAGTTCAAGGTTCTCTGATTTATGGAACTTGGCGAGTTGATGGATCAACTCGGCGAGTTGAGTCAGCCAAATGTTGACTTTGACCAGATGATTGACTTTAACCTGGATGTGGACTTTGACCAAAGGTTAAGTTTGATCAGGGTGTTGACCTTGACTTTGACTTTGACCTAAGCTGACCCTTAAAGGGGTGTGAGCATGAAAGGGTAACTAAAGGATATTTAATGTGTAGGAATTTGAGAGGAGCAAATTTCAGAGCCGCGGACAGTTTAGCTACTTCACGACATTGAGGTGAGTTACCTTCCAGTAGGAGTGAGTCGAAGGCACCAATGTTGGCCCACTAAGTAGTTGATTATAGTAGAGATGATTGTCTTTGTGATAATTGTCTGGTATGCCACTATCTGTTATGTGTTATGTGCTAGTATGCTATGATATTATGTGATAGCGGTAGGAAATGGACTAGTCCCTGGACCCGGTTGAGATATACAGGCAGGGTAGGTTGGGCACCCAGATATGCCTGATAGTATGTTATGTTATGTTTTTATGTGGTAGTGGTAGGGGTGAAATAGTCCCCGTAGCCGGTTGAAATAAACGGTAAGGTAGGTCGAGCAACCAGATATGTCTGGCAGGGTAGGTCGAGCACCCAGATATGCTTGACAAGGAGTAGATCGGGCACCTCGGTATGCCTAACAAGGGTAGGTTGAGCACCCAGATATGCTCAGCACGGTAGGCCGGGCACCCAGATATGTCTGGTAATATGATTATTGTATGCTATGTAGTGTAATGGGGGAACTCAATAAGCTTTGTACTTATGGTTTTCAGTTTTGGTTTCAGGTACTTCTTCCTTGAAGGGAAAGGAGTCGGCACGGTAGCAACGGATCACACACACGATTTCCACATATGAGATTCTTGAGATTTGTACTCTGATATTGTTACTATGTTATGACATGATTTTAAGACATGTGATCGATGGCTTTTTATGAAATGAAATAACTTGATGACGTTTTCTATAAATTGTTTTATGAATTATTATATCAAAAATGAAAATTTTTGTCTGAAATTTTAGGATGTTACATTTTAATACATCCTCCATTTTAAACAAGGGGACAACAACCATCGTTAGGGCACAAGAAAAAAACTTAAGTGGACTCGATAACCTGATGACGTGGACTCGATATCCTAGCAAGCAACTTACTTGGCACAAAAACCTGTTAAACAAGGTAAACGTCCCATTTTAGTTGGCAAACACTAAGGTCGTACCCTTAGAAAGCAAAAAAAAAAAAAAAACAAAAAAAAAAACAAAACAAAACAAAACAAAACAAAACAAAAACAAAAACAGACAAACAAAAGGGATCTTCTAAAACAAAAATTATAAGTTCGTTGGGCTATAGTGATATTTTTTTATTTTATTTAAAACTTATTCAAATCCCAATATAGAATTTCAACAACAATATTTAACATACTAATTAGTTATGGCAAAATAAACAACTGACATGTTTTGGTAAAAAACTTTGCTTGGTATTACATGCTTTTAGTTTTTAGATTAAATAAAACGTTCCAAATCTAAAAGTTACTTCATGTAGCGTTTAAAAAAGATTTTTTTTTTTTAGTTTTTAATCAATTTCAAGAATTATCCCTTTTATTTATTATGTTTCACATTTAGCTAACAGATGCTTCAGAATAATTTTACATATGTCAAAAACTTTCAACTATTTTTATAGAACACTTATATAATAAAAATAAACTTTCAACTAATTTATAGAACACTTATATAATAAAAACTATAGTTTCCAACTATCAGCTACCGGCTAGTTCTGCCAATTACTTATAACAAAATAAAAGAATGAAAAACAATTGCCAAAAAACATAATAAACATTATACAAAATGACCACATTACTTAAAATTCCTTTAGGTCGGGATGAATGGGTCAGTAAGAAACTCAGCGTCTGCTAGGTTTTTTTTAGAAATTTCCTAATTTCCATACCAAAATGCATTTTGAAATCTCTCTCAATCAAAAGATACAATACAACAACGGCTTCAAGTACCCCTAACGAAAACGCAAGAATCAAAGAACTCTCTCTTGATCATTTTATTGTATTAAACCCGATGTTTTTTTTTTTTTTTTTTGACAATATAACAACTTTTGCAGTGTACTCTCTGTTGAGCTTAGAAAAAAACAGTTAAGGATCGTTTAAGCTCAAATAATGTTGAATGATAAGTAACATAATATGATCACAGCAATATTTAAAGAACAACTCAGAATTAAGAACTATGATTAGCTTGCAAGCAAAGGAATAATCAAATGAGAACAACACAAGTTCGGCTAAATGATATGACGCTGATAATTAATACGTACTTATTTCATATCCCCTAGTAACCTATTTATAGTACAAAATCTTCCAAGAAACTTTATAAATGATCTCCAAAATTTCCTAACTCCAAACTACCAAGTGATTCTTTCAATCATTAACTCTTTCAACGAGGAGTGGCATACATCATACTTCGATCTTATAATATCATCGATCACACACTTGGCAAAGTTCACCATCAATGAAAGTGATGTCAAAAAGCAATGATTCCAAAAACTAGAAGAGTGGAATATCTGATTATTTCAGTTTTTGGATCCATGGTTCCTTCAACATTATTATTATTGGGGAAGAGGTTGAGAAGTTGGTGAATAGAGTTAGGGTTAGGTTTTGTATAGGATAAAATTGTTGCATATGATGAAATAAATATTGTTGTGTGAATTTAAAAGTAGTTGTTGAAAATAAAACCTATCAACTTTTTTAAAGTTAAATACATTGTAAATCATAAAACATTATTATCTTAAAAAAAAAACTTACAAAAGTGGACAACAAACCACTATAAAAATACACATGATACCAACCATATCCTTTAAACAAATAAAAGGATCTTGCAATGCATTTTTGCAGTTTGCGTTGACTGTTGATGAGCCATTAAAAGACTAGTAAAACAAAAATGAGTTGTCAAGAGTAGGAATTAGGAAGGGCAATTTGGTCAGATTTAATATGGATTGCATAGTAATGAAAAGGAGTTGGAATTGGTGGACAAAGAAATCATTGGTAGGCACCACCCCAGCAGATAAAAGCAACACAGAAAAGCATGTAGATGGGTTTGATACAATTAACTACAACAACAGACAACAAACAAAGTAAAAAATCATCAAGAACAGATTAGATGATTTTGACTAATTTCCTAGCTTGTAATTCAATTCTATCAAAGGATGCTTCATGCCTTTGTTACCCTTCAAATCAAGTAGCTATAAAAAAGTTCATATCCTGATCTGATTGCCACTGATTACATGATAAAGTGTGCAGTGCAGAGTATAGACTCAACCTGACACTGGAAGGTAAGGCTTGAGCAGAAATGGAGAACTTAATTTCAGTGGAAGGAATTGAAGTTTGCTTTGCACACAAATAGCGACATAGGTACAAAAGATTCGTGCCAAAATTAACAAGTAACAGAAGCCATGAAAACGAATCAGTAACAAAAACAATCAAACAAACAAACAAAGAGCTGCAGATTATACGCAAACTATTTCGAAACTACCTTCTAAGACGAAGAAGATGCCAAATAGCCACCTGCCTCATCGTCTAAGGATAAATCATGAGTGCTCCTGAAAACAGCGTGAATCACCACAACAGCCAATCCGATAAGAAGCGACGAAATTATATTCATCGTTGCGCCGGTCAACAACAGCAAAAGTATCGTCGCAACCGATAACACCACAAGGACCACGCCGTCGTCAATTGTACGGTGGAAAATCACCAGAGGCTCGTCACGGAGGAAGTAAAGGAACAACCAGGCCGCCATCATCACCACGAATACAATCAACGAAACCGGATGCCATAACAGGCTAAGGAACAAAATCACCAGCACGAGTATCGCATAGTTCATACGGAAGTAACCTATGTTTATTTTGATTCGTGAAAACGCATCGGAGACGCCGTGAGGAAGGTCAACCGAACGGAAATTGAACATCTCTTTCCAGGAACGCCGCGTGCCTAATCCAGATTTTATGCGTGCTTTAGCTCGAGAGAGGTATTCGAGATTTGTACCTCCGCCTGATGACGTCGGAATCGTGCCGTACGTCGTCATTGCCGCCGGTGATCTGAAGAAGGTTTCCGGAAAGTGCAAGGGCGTGGATTTTATTGGTAGTAGACGAGTAATTGGGGAGTTCAAGCTGTCGTGTATGCTGGATAACTATATGCCGTATTGCGACAACTGATGGTATCTTATTAAGGACTTAATTACAAACCGGTTCCTTCATAATCTTTTTTCTTTCTTTTTCTTTTTACGAATTTGGTCCCTATAAAATGTTTTCTTTAATTTGTTAATTCTTAACGATTCTATATTAACTAGATGGAATCACCGCGCCCGTTGGTGCTGAGTCAAATGTTTTTTGGGTTGTTTCAACTTGTAAATGTACTACGGGAAGGTGTCATTATATTGATGAACATATAGTTAACATACAGGGATTTTTTTAATACGACAGTGAGTTAACAAACTAAATACTTGAAGACAACAAAAGATCAAAACATTTTGACACAAAGAAACATATTAGAGATTTAAGGAACTATATAGTTGGAGACAACAGAAGATCAAAAGATTTTAGGACAAACAAACACATTAGATGTATGGATGATTGTCTTTTGGGAGGTAATGGGTTAGAGTAAATGGTAAATTATCTTCTTGTGAATTTTCTTCTTTGTTCTTATAAGTTGGGCTTTTTGGATACAAAAACCCATCTTTCATTCTTCGTGGCTTCCTTGACATTTCATCAGGTTTTGAATGGGTGAAAAATGGGTGTGTAAAGAACTCCTCAAAAGTCAATCTTTCCACTATCCATCAAAGTAACCATAATTCTTGATTAATTGAAAATTAATCATCCTTCTAATTTCTTTTATGAGTGTAAATTATAAATACCTAGATTTTGTCACAGTAATTTTCGACAGAGATCAATGAACTCAGGACTTAAGTCCTTTACATCTGGAGGAAATTGCAATTCTGTTGATTTCATGATATTTTGAAGCAACTGCATGAAAGGTGAAATGATTGTTAACTTAAACTATTATATATATAAAAAAATTATATCCTTGAAAGCCAAACACCTGATGGAAATATATAAATCTAAATTTGATTGTTTCCTGTAAATGGTGTTCTCCCAGTTACAAGTTGAAATAGAATGGCACCAACAGTCCATACATCAGTTTGTTTTTCCATTTCTATGTTAATATAGGATATAGATTGAAACAGAAAGTAAACTAAAGGATACACTGACATTTTATAGAATATAGTACCTTTGCATCATACTTATGAAGTTACATTATTTCTGGTGACCGTTCACACCCTTGTTCAGATGAAATTGAGCTAAATTCCAAATTGTGCAACACATATTCTCAAGTCTGGTGTTCCTCTCTTGAGGACTCCTCTTCGCTTAGGGCTGCTGCATATACATACAACAATGTTTAATTCCCAATTCCAAAGGAAAAAATAAACAAAGCAACATAAACACACACAACACACAATACACACCACAATTTGATTCAATTTGATTCCTCCAAACGAACTTAAAAACATAACAAAAGTACAAGAGAATAGATAGACAGAAAGAGGTGTTTTCCATTTTTTAAATAAGGCATGTAAGCCTCTTTGTCCTTCTCGGTTCGGCAGCATAAGCATTCTTAGCTACCGAAGAAGATGAAGCTGTTGAGATACGAATTAGGAGCTACTTTTCTAGTCGTTGAAGCTATTGAGAAAGACAACAATTCTATCCGTTTTAGGTAAGAGTCTCTCAATCTCCAAACAAATATAATCCAGTAATGTATCATCTAGTAACGTAAGGTCGAATGAATACCTTAATTGGGTCAGGCATTTCAGCGAACGCCTTATAGACAGCTTTCTCATCCAAAAGCAATTAACTTGTCGATCTTTTCAATCTCCCAAACCTGTATTCAGCATATCCAAGTAACATTTAACCCGCAATTTCTTAGACCACAATCACAAATCTAAAAGAACGCAAGAATTTACCTGCCCTCAGAATGATGCTAATTCGATGATCGTGGAGAAGAATCGAAACCAAAGAGAGAACCCAGAGCAGTAGAAAGGTGATCAGTTGTAAGCACCCTCATGGCCGCTGTTTTATCTTGCAAGCAAAGTTCCTCTAGGTGTTTAGCTGCAATTGTTTCTCCTCAGATACTATCTTCACCTGTTTGTAATGATTCTTTTGTTTTGCCTTTTTATGATGATTCTCTCCAATACAAGCCAAACACCCCCTGTTCGCAAAATGGTTCCATTTCACCCCATATCTCCACCTGTTCACGATGAAAACATCAAACCAAAAGGAATACCAAAAACCCATTGATTTCAATAAAAAAAAAAGAGAAAAAAAGAATTTTTGTTGTTTCTTCTCTTCTTTCCTTCGATTTGTGCCAAGAACAACCAAGAGGGAAACAATCCTCTTTCAATTCATTTCTCACTTGGCAGCCACTGTTGTGGTCATTTAGGTATTGATGAGAAGAGAGAAAGAGCGTTGAGGAACTCACCGAAGAAGATGGCTTCCGACCTGCCCCTCCTCGCGATTTCAGCAATCGCCATCGACCTTACCACTTTGATCGATCGTAGCTCCGCTGTCATCCATCGATTTCGACGTTGACGACCACCATAGGAATAGAGCGGAGGAGTTATCAAGTGAAGAAATATGATGCATAAACAAAAATCAACGACAACTACCACCACAAATTGAACACTACCGAAACGTTATCACGTGACTCGTAAAAGGGGATGTGTACAAAAAAACGTGAAATTAAAACACAAAACAAATTAGGTGTAGATTCATACCGTTTTTGGCGAGTTCGGAGAGGATATGAATCGAACGTTTGACTAAAGCACGATCTGATCCGTTCGATGAAAAAGTATAGTCGAGGATTTTGACCTGAGCGCGAACTTCAGATAGTAGATCTTGTTGAGTCGCGTCATCAGATGAAGTGATCTTCCGATCCACGATGAATTCGTCCTCCAGCTTCCTCTTCAAGCTTCTTCTCACGGAGTTTGTAGGTTGTTCATGGCGTTTCTGGTTACCTAAATAAAACAAACCAACAGGAATCATACATACCAAAATAAAAAAACCAACACCTGAGAAGAGAAGAAGAGATAATCGCAAGAAAGGGAGGTTCAGTGAAAGTTCGAATTCCAAACGGAAATTAAAAGCGAAGGTCTATGTAGAAGACAACGACTATGTAGAATTTATTTAAGGCGGGGGAGAAAATAGGTAGAACGTTAAGGCGGTGTGAAATTGGATCTCAATTAATAGTATATATAATTAAGGCGGTTCTTTAAGACGGTGAAGGGTAAAAAACGATCCGGTGGCAAAAGAAGAAAGTCAAGGAAAAAGAAGGGTACAAATGAGAAATGTAAAAGTTTGTTTAAAGCAACCTTCCTGTGGCAAAATCAGCAATCCAATAAATTTAAGTGGCAGAAATGAGAAAGTTGAAAGTTTCTTGTTCATCATCCTTTTAAGGATTAATAGTATATATAATCGACTCCTTGTGCTTATTTTTTTTTTTTTAAGTCGACTAGTTTTGCAAACGTTTTTATCATCCAAAAACCTCACAAAATTTGAAAATGAAATTTTAAAAAACTAATAGATGAGCATTTTTAAAACTAAGTTAATCGACTCCTTTTTGTAAAAGTGTTTCTTTTTTTTCTTAAGTCGACTAGTTTTGCAACCGTTTTTAGTTTTTTATCATCCAAAAAGCTCACAAATTTTGAAAATGAAATTTTAAAAAAATAATAGATGAGCCTTTTTAAAACTAAGTTAATCGACTCCTTTTTTTAAAAGTGCTTATTTTTTTTCTTAAGTCGACTAGTTTTGCAACCGTTTTTATCATCCAAAAAGCTCACAATTTTTGAAAATGAAATTTAATAAAACTAATAGATGAGCTTTTTTATAGCTAAGTCTTTATGGAGCTTGTTAATAAATAACCTCTTGTCATAAGATTTTTCATTGATTCAGTGAGTCTAATATATTTTCAATCAATTGTAGACAAAAAATTATATCAAATCCCTACAAAAAAAAAAAAAATCTTTCATATTATGGATATAAAATAAGTTTTTTATTTATAAGCCTTTTAATTTACATATATAGAAGGTGCCTGAAATATTATATACTAAACATCTAGAAAGCATGGATTATTCTACACAATTGTTTTCGGTGTTAACGTAATCTCATCTAAAGAGGCAAACACATAGTCATTGACAATCCTCTGCAATCGGTGATGCAAGCATGTGGTGCATGTTAATTCACTAGGACTACAGACACATTAATCCCGGTAAGTTGTTTGTCTTCTTTCTCGTGAAGCAAAAATAATTTGGAGCGAGTTGACCATGGATTGGCCACAAGATAGAGTTTTTATAATATGCTTGTTTTTCACATCACTAGAACAATACAAAACACATAAGATTATTAGTGATTCAGCCAAAAAAAAAAAAAAAAAAAAAATTGAAGATCATTTGTCAACTTACTTGCATATAATCAATGACAGATGTTAGATCATCATCTTCGTCTCTATCGTCTGCATTTTATTCTTCAACATAAATCTTTTAATAAAAAATTTACCCATGTTTTGAAAACCGGACCAAACTGCCGGTTCATTCGGGAATCGGTCCCGGATCCAGTTCTTAAAGGATAAAAAATCGGTATTCATGTGAACCGGTAAAACAGGGAATTTTAAAAAATATTTATCTTTTTTATATTTTTTGTATTTTTTATATAATGACGTTGGAATCCTAAATTAAGTAGGACTTGGAGATCAAGTAAGAATGGATTTTTAAATGGATTTTTAAGTAAGTTTGTTTAAGAGTCCTAGTTTTGTTCTACAAGTCAGGTAGAATATAGGTCTATATAGACATTGTTAGAATCAAGTTATGATTTTCAGAATGTAACACAATCTAGTTGAGTTTTGAGTTATTTTCTCAATATATTGGAGAGTTATTCCATCTTATTTGTGTTTTTAGGTCTTGAATTGGTATTAGAGCACATTAGAAAGAAATCCTGCGACAGAAACAAGGAAGGAAGGGTTCAACAGAAATCCTTTGTCGATTTAATCAATCATTGTCGATCAATTCATGTTTCCAATCTCACTGATTATCGATTCTGATTTGAATTGTTTTTTTGTTTCTGTCAATCATCATATTTGATTTCAATTGGTAATCGATTAAAGTGGTAATCATAGAACAAGCGGTCAAAAGGCTGTTGTCGACAAGAAGGACTAAATACGTTCACGCCTTGATTAAATCACGACATCATCGACTGATAATGATCAGTCATCTATGCTTTTGTTCATCAAGATCATAACCAGACGATTTCTTCCGGTCAATTGAAAGCGCCGATCAAATTGTTATCCAGTGAATTCACGATTGATTTGCAATTGATTCTTAATCATCTTTATACTTGATCGTTTGTTTGATTGTGTTCAAGTCGTGAACAGAGCTCACACCGTGAACAGTAAATTTGTGAACAGTAACTTCATAGACTTCATATTTTTTTTCTCGATCAATTGCCACCTGTTTGTTCTACTTTTAGAACAATCAATCTTGGTTTCTATTAACCTTCTCTGATTTCGAGTTCTTTTTTCTGATTTAAGTAATCACTATGTCGGGTGAGTCCTCGAATTAGGCACCACCAAAGGAAATCGGAGCAACCTCCATTCACTATCCGATGTTGACAGCTACAAATTACACAATTTGGGCTATGAGGATGAAGGTTGTTCTAAGAATTCACAAAGCATGGACTATAATCGATCCAGGAATAGAGAAGAATGAAGAGAAATATTACCTGGCGATGGGGTTGTTGTATCATGCGATCCCGGAGACTTTGATTATGCAAATCGGAGATGTGGAGTCCTCAAAGGTGTTGTGGGACGCAATCAAAGCCCGATATGTGGGTGCTGACCGCGTAAAGGAGGCTAGTTTACAAACCTTGATGGCAGGATTCGACCGACTAAAGATGTTCGACTCGGAATCGATTGACGATTTTGCAGGGAGATTATCCGGATTAGCCTCAAAATCGGCAGCCCTAGGAGAAGTAATTGATAAGACAAAAGCTTGTGAAGAAGTTTCTCAAATCATTACGGAGAGTGAAGTTCATCCACATAGTTGCTTCTTTGGAACAAGTCTTGGATCTCAAATTGGTTGGATTTGAAGATGTTGTGGGAAGGCTTAAAGCTTATGAAGAAAGGATTAGAGAAGAGAGTGATGACGGAGGAGAAGAACCAAAGGTTTTGTGGTCATCGAGCAGTGCCGATAATGGTTCAGGTGGTGGCGACGGCTTGTCTGGTAGAGTGAATGAAAGATTGACAAAGGGAAAAGGGATGTCGACCGGTAATCATGGATCAGGAGGGTTTAATGGGTCTGACGGGTCAAGTGGGCCTAAATCATGTAATCAGGTATCTCAAAGTGGTAATCTCCCCAATCACCACAAAGTCCAATTCTGAATTAACCCAACCCAATTCCAACAATTGAAAAAAAAATTAATTGTTGTTGTAACAAAAATTGGAAAAATAGGGAAAAAGATCGATCTAAGGTGATTTGTTTTCGGTGTGACAAATCGGGTCATATTGCCTTTGAATGTTCGAAACGACTCCAAAATTTACAAGAAGGTTATTTTTCAAAATGTGACAACAACGACGAACCCGTAAATACGAATCGGGTTTGAAGAATTCTTGGAGTTCTTGGATCTGCGTCAGGATTCAAAGTCGGTCACGGAGATCACTCGCATGTTTACTGAGAGGGCGATGTTTTGCCCTAAGTTTGCTTCAGAGCAGGCTCAGATGACCTGATATCTGAGTATGCTCAAGATGGACATCAGGCAGTTCGTATCCACGCAGAGATGTGATACCTTGCTGGAGTTGTAGGAGGCCGCCAGGCGGCATGAGCTTGAGATGCAAAATATGAGAAAGAAAAAGAAGAAGAAGATTAAACGAAAGAACATGCGGGTTTATTCACAAAAATCTTCAGATGTTGTTGTGAAATCTAAATCCGTGAAGCAAATTTTGGTTCCAAAGCAACAATCTCCAAAGGTTGCATTGAATTTGAAATCAAAACTCAATAGTGTTGATGGTTCTTTTGAAGATGTTCTTGGATCGTTAAAGAACATGAAGAACGAGTTGTACATGTCGCATAGAGGGTGGTACAATGTTCAATTTAGAGATTTTCTTATTCCAACAAAAGAACCAAGGTCTTCCAAATTTGATTCGTTTGTTGAAAATAGAACTCGATTCGTCAAAAATGTATCTCAAATTCTCAAATGGATTCCAAAACGTCCATGATCTCGATTCGTATTTTTCGTTTTTCAATTTTTTGATCGATTTAACTCATAGGATCTATTTCGTTTCAACCCCATTGTTGATCCAATATATTTTTTTTAAAGATCAAGCTCAAAACAAACATTTAATCTTTGAAGCCCAAATTTTGAATCCAAATTTATTTTTTGAAACATACTCTATTCATCCAATTCATAAGCCCAAACTAAATTTTCGATCTGTTACTGTTCATATACCTATTTTGAAGCCCAATATAAATTTAATACATTCATTACTAATTCGAACCAAATATATCATATTGTTACTGTTCTTAATCAAATCAAAACCCAATATCATCACACATCTACTTATACATCTTATTGTCAAAATCAAGTTCGATGCGTTGACTGCTCAATCAAGTCGATAGCATTTGTAGTTTTGGATTTGAAATTGAACTCGATTTATAGACATAGGAGTTGGTTGATCGGTAGCTAGAAATTTTGACGTGTGAGAAGGAATCGAAATCAATTTCGCTGTGGATTTTGATGTTCGGAATTGTGGTTTGAAAGCATTCGATTTTAGGGTATCAAAGCATTTACTGATGGAATCTAAATCAGTTTTGGAATGTCAAACTGATGTTAAAATCGACTGTAATTCTTTTGATTTATTTTGGGTCGATTTGATTTCGAATAATGGGAATAAGGATCGATGGTTGCTACTAGTTGCTAGTAACTAGAAATATATGAGATTTTGATTTTGCACACTAAAAGCGAAGACATGTGAGTTCGAAACGATAGGTAACAAAGAGATAGTATTTTATTTGGATTTGAAGTCGATTGATCAAATGATGAGTATTGAAATGTAATCGACTGGGAAAAGAGAAGACCGTGAAATCTGTTGGATTAGTGTCTAAGTCCATAACTATTTTGGTATGTACTTGTCCCGATGGTGCATGGTCCTTTTGGGTTGCCTTCACCAAAGCAACTTGATTGGAGAAATAAATAAAGAGAGAGAGGTTATTATGATTTATTAATATATTATAAGAATAATATATTAAAGGAGAAATTATATTTGCTTAATTAATATTGGTCAATAATTAATTAGGAATTAATTTTGTGATCAAGTGTAATTAATTAAACTAGAGGGGTTGAATTGTAATTATGTGATAGTTACAAAATATGGTAATGGTTATCCTAAATATGGGTTGAAC